TATGGCCAGGTTCTAATAGATGCAAACAGTATACAGACAACGGGAACGATGCTTGCAAGAATCGAGAGTGCCGTGTTACATAGTACAGTATCTTCGGGACCCGCCGGACCAGGAACCCTTGAGACCCCGCGATCTGTGTAGGTAGCTCTCGTAGTCTAGTCTCTGCCTGGACCCGCTCTTATCTGGCATTGCGACAGTATACTGGCATGATTACATAAAAACATTGACCATTGTCCTCCCTCATGGTTGCGCGTGCGACTGAATGCTGCAACGCGGTGATACAGTACGGCTACAGAGAGAACGTTTACTGCCTGATGTGCTAGTCTCTATTTGGGGCAGCCTCTCCAACAAAGCTTATCCGCCGCGGGTCTTTTTGTCGGAGATGGACGAGACTACTAAAGATTGATCATTCCACATACGGATCGGTCCGGGGCCCCGTGGGCAAAAGCCGGCCGCTATCGGGCGATGCAAATGATGTCCCGTATCAGGTTCCAAGAGTGTTTTCAAGAAAGGATACTCCAAAATATCTTCTGGCTTCCAGGGCGCTTCCATATTCTCTCCAAGTGATCCGACAGCGACCCCATTGAATGTCTGACTCTCTACTCCCCATCCGTGTCATTGAACACGAGGAGATTGTGCTGTCCGATGGCACAATTCTCTCGGCCATGATATGGCTCCCGGTCGACGCAGAGATCAACCCGGTGCCGGCCATTCTAGAGTACCTACCGTACCGCAAGCGAGACGGCACGGCGCACCGCGACGCCCTCATCCACCCGTACTTTGCGGGGCACGGCTACGCGGGCGTCCGCGTCGACATGCGGGGCTCGGGCGACTCGGAGGGCCTCCTGCGCGGCGAGTACCTGAAGCAGGAGCAGGACGACGCGCTGGAAATCCTGGAGTGGCTCGCCGCGCGGCCGTGGTGCACGGGCGCCGTCGGCATGATGGGCATCTCGTGGGGCGGCTTCAACGGCCTCCAGGTCGCGGCGCTGCGGCCCCCGCAGCTCAAAGCCGTCATCTCGCTGTGCTCGACCGACGACCGCTACGACAATGACGTGCACTACATGGGTGGCTGCCCCCTGGTCGAGAACTTTCTCTGGGGCGCCGTCATGTTCACCGTCAGCCCCAACCCGCCGGACCCGGCGCTGGTCGGGGAGGACAGGTGGCGGCGCATGTGGCTGGAGCGCCTCGAGTACGGCGTCCCCTACGTGGCCGAGTGGCACGAGCACCAGCGCCGCGACGACTTCTGGAAGCACGCCTCGGTCTGCGAGGATTATGGCGCCATCCAGTGCCCTACCTATCTGGTGGGCGGGTGGCAGGACCCGTACCACAATTCCATCTTTCGCATGATGGAACACCTTCAGTGCCCCAAAAAGGGCCTCGTCGGACCCTGGGCTCACAGCTGGCCCAATTTCGCCTACCCCCAGCCGCGCGTGGGATTTCTCCAAGAGTCGCTGCGCTGGTGGGACAAGTGGCTCAAGGGAATCGAGACGGGCGTCATGGACGATCCGGTTTTCCGGTGTTATCAGCAGGACACCATACAACCACGGCGGCATTACGAGTCCCGACCCGGCCAATGGGTGGCCGAAAATACCTGGCCGAGTCCTGGGGTTAGTCCCCGGTCGTTGGGTTTCGCACCAAAGCGGCTCGTAGACGGCGCATCCCAAAGCGGCGCGCAGCTGTCCATTTGCTCGCCGCAGACGGTAGGCTTTGGGGCCGGCCGCTGGCTGCCCTACGGATCGGGCGCGGATCTGGCCGGCGACCAGCGGCAGGACGCCCAGGGCTCCCTCGTCTTTGACAGCGAGCCGCTGCAGGAGCCGCTGGACATTCTCGGCGCCCCGCTGGTGCGCCTCCGCGTCGCGAGCGACAAGGCCCGCGCGCTCGTGGCCGCGGTGCTGTCCGAGGTCCTGCCCGACGGGTCCGCCACCCGGCTGACGTACGGCGTGCTCAACCTGACGCACCGCAACGGTCATGTTAACCTCGAGGCGCTCGAGACGGGCTGCTGTTACAATGTCACGGTCAGGCTGAACGAGTGCTGCCAGCGCATCGGGGCTGGGAGTGTGATTCGGCTTGCGCTCTCTACGACTTATTTCCCCACGGTCTGGCCGTCGCCCGAAGCAGCTACATTAACTATTGATTGCGCAGACAGCGCATTGGAACTACCCGTCCGGTCAAGCAACCCGCTCGACCAGGAGCTCAAGCCTTTCGAGCCGGCCGTTAATGCGCCGCCGCTCGACACGATACAACTACGCGAGGGCAGCAGCAAGAACACCATCAGCGAGGACCTGGCAACGGGCGAGATGACGGCCACGTACTACAGCGACATTGGCCTCTGCGAGATCAAGGAGACGGGCTGGCGCTTTGGCGAGTGCACGGAATTTGTGACGAGCATCAAGCCCGACGACCCGTTGTCGGGGCGGGCGCGGATGAAGTTTCGTCAAGAGTTTGGCCGCAGTGGTCTCGACTTGGTGCTCAATGGGCTGACGACCATGTCGGCCACGGCGACGGAGTGGCATCTGACCATGGAAATCGAGGCCTTGGAGCAAGGAAAGCAGATCTTTCAGCGGGAGTGGAAGTATGCCATTCCGAGAGACTATAATTGATGAATAAAACATAATATCGTTGAGTTTGCAAGCGATGCATTTCCGATCTAAGCCACTCAGTAACTGCTAAGGCGCTCATGTTTTAGCTCGATTCTAATCATGGTTCAAGGATTGAGGCTGGGCAATGTAAGAGGCATCACCGTTGGGCAGAACTCTTGGTCCGAGTCTTGTATGGTATGACTGCCTTGAAATCTTCTGCGGGATATCTCTAACTGTTTGCCTAGTCCTGACATTTTGTCGACGAGACACTCTGCCCTTGGGTTACTCTGCCCTGTGAGTTGCCCGAACTTAGATAAACCGTTTTCTGAGGCGCAGAATACACTAGTCGTAAGTATGGTTTTTAGTTAGGGGAACACAGCCAAAACAGCTCGAAACAGGAGTGCTAAGCTTCATGTTAAAATCGTGCCAAAGTCTACGCGCAGAGCCAACCAATGACCTTGTATTGTCTTTGGTTAGGAAATCTCTTATTCTTTTTTCCAATTAGCAATGAATGAGGCTGGTTGTTGGAAAAGATGTCAGATTGTAGTATGAGGCAGACAATGGTTACTGTGACTCGACTGATGGGCACGTGTTGACAAAATGTCGCTTCCCGTCCCGCCGCCGACATCATTTTGCAAGATGACACCGACAAGTCCGAATCTTCGATCTCGCTTCTCGGGACTAAAGGCCACATGGTGTGCACAAGTTTTCTGCCTTGGGCTGACTTATGACTTGAATTGGGTCAGAATTGCGTCAGAGAGATCTCAACCAAGTGGCCCCACAGCCCAGCGGATTACCATGGCAGATTACCATTTTGGGATCTTGGGATCTCGTAGGACGAGCAGGATTGGTGATTGCATGAGTCTCAGAAACCATTTTCATTTGCCGCCACTAAAAAAAGCCCGCGAGGCCCGATCCTAGTACTATGCCGTGTGAACGTTGCTGCTAGGGATAATTAAGCACCATGGGCAGATTGAAAATCAAAGATATATGGTGTCTTTTTCTATGACTTGATTTCGAACATTTGTGTACAGCATAACTGCTGATATTCATAGCAAACCTTTGATCACTGTGCACTTCTCATAGTCACCATACTTCAGCATTCACTGCACAAGCAAACATGTCGTATATCGATCGACACACAGGGCGATACTACAGCCCCAGCCCAAGCCCACCACCACGGCGCTCTCTCTCCAGGAGGGAGACGTTTCTCGACAACCTAGACCGCGGGCGCGTCAAGGACGCCTTTGGGGCCTTGATTCCGGGCTCGCGATCCAAGAGCCGGCAACGTCGGGCCTCGCATCACTACTACGACGACGACCGCCGAAGAGGACGGGGCCGCTCAGCATATGACGACGATGACAGCGCCTACTACTCGAGTGACAACGACGACTACTATCGCGACCGCAAAGACAAGCGCCAGTCGCATCGTCACCACCGATCCCGCAGACATCACCGAGACGGCAGCGTGGACTACTACTACGAAGAGGAGGAAGAGGACGGGATACCATCGCGACGACAACGCGGGCGCAGCAGGCGCGGCCGCTCAGTCTACTCGGAGCCCCGGGATTACTATCACAACAGCAGCCGCTCGCGCGACCGGAGCCACTATTATCGCGGAGGAGGAGGAGGAGGAGGAGGGGCCCGCTCGGCCAGCCGGCCCAACTGGAGGCAGGCCACCGAGGCCGCGGTGGGCGCCGGGCTCATTGAGGGCTGGCGGTCGCGCAAGGACGGGGCGCGCCTGAGCAGGATCGCGACGGCGGCGGCGGGCGCGGCGGGCACGGCCATGCTGGTGGGTGGAGGGGAGGGGGATCGCAAGAACAAGAGACATGTCACCGAGGCCACATTGGGCGGGCTGTTGATAGATCGGGTCGTGAATGGGCGGAGGAAGCGGTGATTTCGACCTTGAAGTGCACAAATAGACATGATTCAGCGGGCCCTCCATCGATCGGTCGGATGCTAATTTTGTGGGGAGTTTTTGCGATAAGCGTCCTGGCGTGTCCCCTCCGATACCCGCTGGACGCTGGCCCCTCACCCGCCGTGATTGCCATATGTCCGCTACCTACATAACACTAGAAGACCGAGCATGACTGGCCCCTTTTTGTTTAATCATACAATAGCCATCCATCTTCTTTTTACAACATCTTTGCACTTGCAATTCCAGCAAGATCCAAAGGTGCTTTCGGCCCTGCGCCCCTTGCTCGCATTAAGATGGCCCCTCCTCGGTCCGAGAACCGAGGAAATGAACTCTCCTTTGACCCACTCACAAGCATCACCGATCTGAAATTCTGACTCAATCGACCACCGTCGAACGATTCCCATTGATCATTTTCGGTAGAGCCTCAAAAGCGGGATATCCATCAGGCCCACAGACATAACCGGTGTTAGCAACGAAAAGTCTTCAACAACAAGGAAACATACGGTCGGTTAGTGTAGTTGGTTATCACATCGGATTCTGATTTCTGATCTCGTCTTCGAGATCTTACACAGAAGCATTCCGGTAACCGGGGTTCGAATCCCCGACTGACCTCGTTTCAAAGTTATTCTTTTGCGATTCCTTTTTTGGTGAATTGATCTCTTGTTCGTGAATAGCCACTGCCTATAAATTTTTGAATTCAACTACCGCTAGCATCAAATTTTTACCAATGCCCTATAGGTGTGGGGCGGGTGCTTGCCAGGGCTCAGTACGCGGTGATAGGCAATTTCAAGCTCAGCCATAGAGCAAATGTTAGGTGCAAAAGGAGATTGATGATTAGAAACACCTACCTACCTCCTATGCAACGAAGGGCGCGACTTCGGCATTCGCTTTGTTCCTGAACGTACAGTAATACAATGGAAGACTTGATCGCTGGGGCGGAACTACTTATTCAACCGCACGGGACAATTAGCTGTGATAACCCGTACAAATCCCGTTATTCACCAAGCTCAACTCTCGCGGACATTGCCCAATGCCGCCGACGTCGCGAGAGAAAATGACAAATGGCACGGCGATTGCGCACCATTTACATTGACACCTATGATGTTACCGAAAAAGTGAAGCGATAGCGAGTCGGCCAACCTGTAAAGCCCGGGTTGCTGAACTGCAGCAAACCCAGCAGTTGAGTACATCCGCTATGGATTTCCCAATTTTCCAGACACACGGGATCAGATTGACATTGGTTTATAGCCAATTTCATACACCGTCCTCAGTAGGAAAAACAAGATTGGACATCTCCTAGCTATGTGTGGTACTCGGGGCTCATGTACCACCGCCGTCGTCAAGATAAGGTAGCCATCAACTCGGCAAATGCTTATTTTCCTTCGCAACGACATACCAAATTGGTAACGAGACCTTCAAATTCCCCTGCCACCGATAGCCGTCTACAAAAGGATGTCGGATTTATGAACAGCATACTTGATACGGCCAGTAACCGCTCGGCAGCTCTCGTTGACACCGGCCGGTACACGGGACCATTCGGCCGGGAACAGACCCGTGGGCCAGAAAACTTGTATACATAGTAAATGGGTTACCGCCGGCGCGCGGATCTAGCATCTTGGAAGGTAGTTTATCTCAACGGATTGGGGGTTGCATCCAAGCACACGACGCTGTGAGCGCGCATAACACTCAAAAGTACACGTGAAAGTGTAGCAATCAATGGACACAAGCCGACGGAGGCAACGAGGGAGGACCCGGTTACATCATACTTGAAAGATGGTCCTCTCGCCCCCTCTGACTCGGATAGTCTATCTATTCTTGACATGATGGTATCAATGGGGATGCTGATTTGGTGAAGACATATAGGTCCTGCCTAAATAGGAAGTAAGGAAGACTCCGTCTGCAATAGGCATAGTCGTGTGACCCCCCGTAGAGGTTTCACTCAGAGGACCACACCTCCCCATGGCTGCTTGGCTACTGGCTTGCCGCTGGCGAATTCGTTATCGAAACGGTAGGCAAAAACACCCTGGTTTCCTCGTGGCAGCCTTGCAATCTTGATGAGCGGTGATGCGGTGATACCTCGCAGTGCTTGCACACAACTTACCATGCGTTCCAATGGGAACTACTACAGCAGGCTTGCACTGCACGGGCAGCGAGATAAAACCCCCCGCATAAATGTCCACCGTGCATATCGCCAGGGGTGCAGATTAAGCAACATGGACAATGATCATCGAACAATTGTGTGGTTTCCCCCGTCGGTTCCAGGTTGCGAGACATGGGAGTGCCGCGCGGGGCTCATCGCATTTCACTCCCCTCTTTCTATCACTCAGCCACTTCGAGTCGGGGAGTGCATGGGCAGATCCGTAGCAAGGGGAAAGTAACTGCGACTTTAGGTTTTCAAAGTACATTGTCACATATCTTTATTTCTCGTAAAAAGAAGCTTTGATTGACACGTTCGCTTGTCGGCGGCCTTGACCTGGTTCGGTATCCGGGGCGTGACGGCCTGGCCATCAGTGCATAGTAGCATCTCAGCTGATTAGGGTTTCCCACTGCCTCGGCCCGCTACCCAAAAAGCTGAGAGCAGATTTGCCCCTCATCAGCCCGCCCGTCATGCGGTACGAGGCATACCGTACGGGCGAGATCCGCGAGGACGGCGATTATGTCAATTACGCCGAGTCCAGGCCCAGGTCCGCCGCCATGGCTCCGTCGCGAACGGAGCCGTACTACGGCGGACGCGGCGGCGGTGGATACACTGGGCCCGGCTACATTGACGACGTGTTCGGCGAGGAGCGGGACCACGACATCAAGTACAAGACGCTGAGCTGGCCCGTCGTCGCCGTCATGATGATTACTGAGATCGTCTCCAACGGCATGCTGACGCTGCCCAGCAGTCTGGCCGCCGTCGGCATCGTTCCCGGCGTTGTGGTCATCTTTTTTCTCGGTGCCTTTGCCACGTACACTGCCTGGGCTTTGATTCAGTTCAAGATTCGTCACCCAGAGGTGCACAACATGGGCGACGCCGGCATGATCATCTTTGGGCCGGTGGGACGAGAGATCCTGGGCGGCGGCACCATCATATTTGCTGTGTTTGCCACGGGCAGCCAGCTGCTCGCCGGACAGCTTGCCCTGAGCGTGCTGTCCGACAATAAACTCTGCGCTCTTGCCTTTACCGGCATCTTTACTGCGGCCGTGACCATTCTCAGCTTCCCTCGGACCTTGGGCAACTTGGGCTGGTTGTCTGTCCTCGGAGGCGTATCCATCATTGTGGCAGGAATTGTCGGCATGGTCGGGGCTGGCGTCGTTCCAGTGGACGCTGGAAATGTTGCCATTACGGTCGCGACAGACTTTACCTCTGCCTTCATCAGCATCACGAATCCAGTCTTTGCTTATGCGGGACATTTTATGTTCTTCATCCTGATATCCGAGATGAAGCAACCTCGTGATGCAATGAAGGCAGCGTGGACGCTCCAAATCGTGGCCACGTCCTTCTACATTGTCTTTGCCGTTGTTACGTACTGGTATATCGGCCCGGGTGTATCGAGCCCGAGTTTCCTGAGCCTCAGTCCGCTGTGGTCCAAGATCAGTTTCGGACTGGCCATTCCCAACTTTTTGATCGCCGGCAGTCTGTATAGTCATACAGCAGCAAAGCTGATATTCGTCCGCCTCTTTAGACGCAGTCGGCACATGCACTCGCACACCATTACAGGCTGGGGCGTGTGGACCTTTTTGATCGTTCTGGCTAACGTTGCAGCCTTTGTCTTGGCGGTTGGGATTCCCATCTTCAATTATCTCGTAGGCATAGCCGCCTCTCTATTTGCAGCATGGTATACTTATGGTTTGGCTGGCGGATTTTGGCGTGAGTGACCCGATGTCTCCTTTGTTGATTGTCTCAGAGCACATAATTCCCGATAAGGTGCCGTGAAACAGCAGACCTGGACAAAGTCCTCCAGGGAGCTACTCCAAGTCAATTTATCTCTCAAGAAGCGCAGTTGCTAACATCTGTCATTGCAGTACACGACATGTATTACTTCAAGGGCGGATGGCGAGCGTGGGCAGAGAGACCCGCCATGCTTGTCATCAATGTGCTGACAATACTCGCGGGAGCATTCATATGCGTCGGAGGACTGTACGCAACGATCAAGGCTTTGCAGGTGGCTTCAGACTCTGGGGCTCTCCCATCTCCTTTTCAATGTTAGGGATGAGAATGTACGATACAATACGTACTAGAAACCATAGCCGTAAGGTCAAATACATGGCTCTCGAAGAACAGAAACGGAGTGATCCTACCTGACTCTTGATCAACATTTGTTTAACATCTACGAATCTGTACAAAGGTCGCGGAAAGAGCGGCCGGTCCCTGGTCAGCTCCCCACATAACAGCTGGAAGGAAAGCTCCGGCTACTCATGATCGGCGCAGTATAGCACAACCGTTGGACATGCTACCCACAATTCGGGACCCAGTGATTCCTTTGCATCCGAATGAGCAACAGCAACGCATCAACTCTTCTCTTCTGTCATGCACATCAAAGGAAAAAGACCAAATTTCATGCCAACAGAGCTCTCTAGTGCTGCCTGATGACTTCACTGGGCCTTTGCGACAGCACTGTGACGTGCGTAGAGACCATGATGTCATGGCGTAGAGCTTCGTCTCCGAGCTTATAGCTTCTCCAAGCTTTGCTGGGCACAGCTCGTTCATATAAGGACGAGAAGCACAATGAGGAGAAGCTGGTTAATTTGAAGAAACACAATTTTCTCATCTTACAGTACTTTATATCTGCAACAATACCCAAAACAAAAACATTCGTATTGTCCTTGGTCATATAAGTCCATCCATCCCACCTCTTATCAACACCAAAACCTTATACACATCAACCATCATGGCCCCCTCCAACAAGAACCCCAGCCACGGCCAAAAGGTCGACCTCGGCCGCAAAGCCCCCACGACCCACGAGGGCGTCGGCTCCGTGGAATCCGGCTCCCTGGCCGCCGAGTCCGCCGCCTTCAAGTCGTCCAACGAAATGTCTTCATCGGATTTCAGCTCGTCAAACCGGCCCCAGGAAGGTGGCTTCAGCGGCGGCAGCGGTGGCAGTGGTAACCGTCAACGCACCTCGGGCGCAAAGGGCGGCATCAGTAGCAGCGGCAGCGGAAGCACCACTACCCAGGCGCGCGACAACACCACGGGCAAGATCACCGCCGACACTCACCACCACGCCGAGCAACACCAGCAAAAGTCATCCTTTGGATTGGGTTCCCAACAGCAGTCTCAGCAGCAAAAGTCCCAGTCCACCCAAACAAGCAGCGGCAGCAGCGGTGGCCGCCATCGCATGTCTGGCGGTGGCCCACACGGCAAGAACCTGCACGAGGACAATAATCTGACTGGCGAAAACGCCAGCTTCACCCAGTACGGTACCGAGGCCGACCCGGCGTACCTTGCAGAGAGAAAGTTTGAGGCCATGGACAGCATGCCCGCAGCCAGCACGGGAGGCGCGGGGCGGGAGAAGAAGATTGACGATAAGAATATTTATGATGCACTTGGATCTGAGAGCAATGCTTAAATGTGGCCACAATCTTTCTAAAAGTAGTTAAATTTCAATCGAACTTGATTCTGTGATCAA